TTAGGATAAGATGAGCACCGGTGCTCATTAGATCATTTCTGTATATATATATATATATATAAAATAGAATGGAATTATAAGATAATTATATTTCTATATAATCAATCAAGTATAGGTACATTTAATGCTAATCTTGTTGCACACATGTAATACAGTATTGTTTAAATCCGGCAGACGTTACATTACAAAAAAGGAAAAAAAAAAACCTGAAAATTGAAAGTAAAAAATTGACCGCCATCTAAAAGATATATCACTTTAAAAGATGTGAACTAATGACATTTTACCACAATAATCAAGTTCTTATTTCCATTTCCAATGCTCTTATCGTAGGATAAATGTTTTTTTTTTAATTAATTATATATTTTGCTTCCATTTATAATTATATGTTAAGAGAACTTCAATTGAAAATTCCTGACAAAAGCAAGCAATCCTCTTGACCAGGATCATATTTGCTTCTCCTTTTTCTCTCGGTGCTTTCCCTGAAAGGATACTGGAATTCGAGCAAAGAAGAGCTCGAACAAAGAACCAAATTCCCGTAGATCAAGGCTTACGAGAGTAGAGACGAGGGAAGACAAAGGAAATTGATCACAAGCGGTTCCTTTTCGATGATAGAAGTTTGAAATAATCCATCGGCCAATATAAGCTGTTCCTTTTCAGTGCAAACTGTAAATAGAATGTGGGTTCTCTGTTACATGTAATATCGGCAGTAACATGAAATAGGATACCAGCAGAATACATATGTTCGAACATTAGTTTTATAACTAGTTCCTATCAATCTGAATTTTAGAGCTTAATACCCTTTCAGGGGAAGTGAGACGCTGACACAGAAATTTTGGTTCATTGTTAGAGGCTGAAGTATGACTTGAACTGCGAACCTCGGTAGTCTGGATCGCCAGGAAAATGGGACAATGAATTGGGGTCTGAGCTCGAGTTCGTGATTTGGCTAGGAAATTCCGAAGTTGAAGAAAAGGTGCCTGCCATCCTTGTGTCAGCAGTATTAGACTCTGAACTTGGAGGAATCCTTGAGAACTCGGGCCCTCGGAGGTTATTGTAATGCCCAAAGTGGACCGATGAAGAAGAAAAATACAAGCTTGGATTGTTTGAAATGGAAGCACCAGGAAACTGTGACAACGAATTGGGGGCAGAGCTTGAACTCATGATTTGGCTAGGAAATTCAGAAGTTGAAGAGACGGTGCGTGAAGGAAACTGTGAGAACGAATTGGGGGCCAAGCTTGAACTCATGATTTGGCTAGGAAATTCAGAAGTTGAAGAGAAGGTGCCTGCCATCCCTGAGTCAGCAATATTAGAGTCTGAACTTGGAGGAGTGCTCGAGAACTCAGTACTTGGAAGGTTATTGTAATGCCCAAACTGGACCAAGGAAGAAGGAAAATACGAGTTTTGGTTATTAAAAATGGAGGCTTGAGCTTCTGGAAGCATCAAAACTGATGGGCCAAAAAGGCAAGACGTCTGGCCTGAAATATTGGGTCGAATTGCTGGAGGAACAGAGGGAATTGGAAGATTGCCCAGATGTGAGGGTCCTGGAACTGGTTTCTGCCCGGCTACTCTTACTGCCAACATTTTGCCATCTATTTTGTATCCATTCATGTGTAACACTGCTGCATTAGCATCCACAGGATTTTCAAATTTAACAAAACCGTATCCTCTGCTTAAACCAGTAGTTCGATCTTTAATCACCCTTGTTTGGACAATTTTTCCAAAGGGTGAAAATAGCTCCTTCAACTGATTATCATCGACTGTCTGGGGTAAGTATCCAACATAGAGATTTGCATCATCCATCTGTTTGCTTAATTTCCCATCAGAACCAATCCCAATTCCATAAGAGCCTCGCAGAGGCAGGCACGTCTGAGATGCTATAGACAAGCTACATTCAGACGACAGATGGCTAAAGCTTCCGCAAATATCACAAACCATGGCCTTAAAAGTTGAATCTCGACAAGGGCAGGCATATTGTTGGTGCCCTAGTTCCTTGCAAAAACTGCATATATTCTTATCTTCACACGTTCCTTTCAATTCTGCAAATGCAACTCCTCTCAGTTTTGCAAGCTCTTGCAATTGCGCTCTCTTGTGATTGTTCATTCCATCAGCCACAGGAACCAGTAATTTCTTAACCATTCCCACAGCAGCATCCAGCGATTGTTGATTATCAGCCTCCACAAGAATGTGCAGGCCTTCATCATCAGATGGATCAGGCTTCTTATTCATGGAGCCTTTACCTCTTAAACGAATCTTTGCTCCAGTTTTCTTTTCCATTTCCTTTTGAGTATTTCCCCTTGGACCAATAATAAGACCAACAAAGTTATAATCTGGATACTCTTTCTCCGGAACATAAATTTTCTCAACGAGCTTGGCAGGAGTTCTAAAGTTCAAGCCAGTTTTAGCTAATTTCGATATAATATGTTTCTGTTTGGCTCTAAGTTTTTTCCTGAGTCTTGCTTCATGGGTATTTATTCTCATGCCGAGGTTATTGTATTCAGGTTCGGGAGAAGGAGATCTTTCTTCTGCAGGCCTGTCATCATGAATCTCTGAACTTTGCAGCTTGCTGTTTACCTCCATAAGTTGCATCCTCAGGCTAATCGTCTTCTGGTCCATCTCATGCTCTAAGGGATACATGAAGTCCGGTAGCTTAAATGTGCCAAGAACTGGAGAATCATCCCACCTTGTTTTCCTTTTTTTACTAGTTCCATCACTTTGACCAGTTTGTGTTTCTTGTACCGGACACCACCGACTACACCGTTTTCTGCCAGAACTTCCACCAGGGTCCTGTGTTTCACGAGCATTGTTCACTGAATACGGATTAGAAACGTTTGCTTCAGAGGAAAACAGATTTTGATCATCAATAGGTTTAGCTACATCATTATTGATGCACAATACTGATGAATTTACAGATTTCAAACTTGACCTGGTTTCATCATTCAATTCCTCTTTGCAATCACTTTCAGGTTCCTTACTGTCAATGCTACTACTCGTTGAATCTTCATCAGATTCCTCATATAATTCTTCTTCTGGATCTTCTTCAGGATCCTCATCTAACTCTTCCTCTGAAACTTCCTCCTCGTCTGGATCATCTTCAGGATCCTCGCCTATTTCTTCCTCTGATACTTCTTTCACTTCATCTATTTCCTTTTCTGAACCATCTTCCGGTTCCTTTTCTGATGCTTTAATTATGACATTTTTCATTTTAGACTTGGAAACATGCACAGATCCAGCTGACTGCATTCCACTGATTACAAACGCAGAAAGTGGTATTTTGTTAGTAAACTAGCTCCACTGACTGCACAACATGAGAAAGCTACATCAATGAAAAGAAGGAGCTATTCGAGGTTTAATCATAGGATTGACCATGCGTTTTTAACTTACAGGGACAGGAACCGAATAGTAAGTGAACAATGCTACTAGGAGAGGTTCCTTCATTACTTGAATTGATTCTAGATGAAAATTTACAATACTAAAGCTCTTAAAATTTCCACCTGACACCAAGGCAACTCCAAAGCAACCAAAAATCTTAACCATTTATTAAATCTTGAAATTCTGCAGTCAAACAAACAAATAAGGATTTAATCCTCCTGGCTAAAATGCATTTTATTAGTACTCCCTCTAAGTGCATAATTTCATAATCCAAGATCAATAACAAACATTGATTTTTTTCCCTACCAATGCAATCATAAGCACCAAGTTTAAAATTTTCTTTATCAAGCCCATTTGAAACTAAAAATCAATAACAACATTTTCTTGGGCATTGTTAAAATTGAGCTCGCAGCTCCTCAACCCAGTTTCAGAAATAATTTCAACACACAGAGAATCGAAAATCTCCATCATAAAACGTGTCCGGAGAACAGCCACAAACAAATTACAGACATAAAAATGAAGACTTTCGTGGATCTTATTACACTTCATCTGCACGTATCATAGAATTATTATATAACAGAACGAAATCGCAATGAGATCCACGAAAGTCTCGAATAATTCTTACAGGTTGAAGTATTTGATCAGCAAATTCACTCATATCCTATGCAATTCAAGAATTGAATAACAGGTGGAAGAACACAAACAAAATTTTGAAAAAAGCTGTGGATTTGTGCAGAAAGATGGAGAGATGTGCATCAAACCTGAATAAGGCGAAGCGAAAATTCGGCGAGGGTCAGGAGTGGGCTTGTGAGTGGGCCGAAATTCTCTTCTTTTTCTCTTTAAACCCAACAAGGCAAATTATAAAAAATAAGTTGTTTAAAGATTAGACTGCAAAAATCTGGTGAGAAGATTTTTTAATCAAAATTCAGGTAATGATTTAAAAATTAAATATTATTCCCACTCTATCCATCCCAAACTCTAAATCATTTTTCATCTCCCTCTTTCTCTTTCTACCTGCCTCTTCTCGTCGCCTCTCTTTCTCGTTTCTCCCTCGCACGTGGCCGTCGTTGACGGAGACCACATCGGACTGAAGCCCACCCCAATAACCAGTAAGATAGATTCTACAGTCAAACTGAAGCCCATCCCCAATCTTCTAGTCGCCTCTGTCTACCATTCTTCTCGCTGTCCCCATCTCTCTCGCCTCCTTCACTGAGCCGCATTGGGAGCTGCAACAGGGAGCGCCGCGTGTAGTGGAGTGGGCAGTGGTTGGTTTCTGAAGTGGCGATCTGATTTTGCAGTGGTTGACAGTGGTGATGGGCTCGAAGATGGTGGGTTTGTGTGTAGTCACCACCGCTGTAATGATAAGGATCTGAAATGGCGGGCTCAGATATGGTGGGTTTGGGTTCGGCGATCTGAAATTTTCGCCGGTTTGGTGATCTGTACCACGGTCCATGTCGTCGATAGTGGTGATTAGGTGCTGCG